TTTTAATTCTTATTCTAAAGAAATATAATAATCTTTGAATAGTGAATAAAAGTGAGAAAAAATATTTTAAAAGTTGTTACTTTGTATATTTTCTAGTATTGCTTGTGGGTTTGCAAGAAGGTCCTTGGCCAGAGCTAATGCCGTTTGGGGGGCCATAGCATTAAAAAGTTTGAGACCCCCTCATCTAGATTGTAATTACAGTCAGACGAAGCAGATTTTATGTTAAAATGACCTGCCATACATCTACAGACTGAGTGACTGACGGAGCACGTGCCACTGTGCTTATGTACTGTTTTACTCAAGCGGAAGAAAAAGTAGTTCCCTCCAACCACATATGATTTAGACATGATTTGAATAGTTTATTTATTTTCCACTATTTTCCTGTTAATGATATGCATTATGTGAAATAACTGAAGTATCAAAGTATCGATTCTATAACATAAAGTTCTGGTATTGGTACTATCGATATTTCAGTATCGATCTGCACATCACCAACACCAATCACAGAGTGAGGCGGGGCAATCAGCTGCTGTCTGCTGCCGTCGCAGCGCTGATGATTTGTTATGAATATTAGCTGTGGGGACACGTGCAGCTCCTCTCTGTGGACCGTCTGCAGTCCCGTGATGTGGAAACAGGCGAGGGTTTGATTCCTCTGTGCCACTTCGCTTTCAGCTGGCTAACCAAAACCGCCAGAGCTGTTTGATTGATGCGCTACAAAGACGCTTCTGAGACGTGACAGGAAACGGTGTTTCAGACAGATATTATCGTCCGTGTTCACCTCTTGGCTGCGGATCTTAAACAGTTCAGAAATGTCAAAGAGAATATTTAATACCTTCTTCTCCAGCGTCATGTTGAGCTTCAGCTCAACGTAAACGGGCTGATTGACGGGGGTGAAGTCCAACACCTGGAAACTCTTCAGCAGGTCGATGGCGTCGGCGACGCTGAGGGTCGCCTGAGGATAAAACTTCTTAAAGTAGACGTCGTCCACAATAACCCTCGGCACCTTACGGTAATTATGGACTCGGGGTTTTTTCTGGACGACCTCCTCCTCCTTCCCTTTCTTTTTTTTCGCTTTCTTTGCAGCTCTGAAATTCAAACGAAAAAAAGACTCCAGTGTGTAAAACAGGAAGTGTTTGAATAAAAACCTAATGGTTATTGATGTTAACTTACTGAACAGCTGCAAACGTCCTGATGGGAAGATTCTTCGGGGCAGTTTGTGAAGCAGCAGCGTAAACTGGACTGAAGGGGCTCAGCAGCTGCCTCTGACATCCTGCTAAAACTGGATTAAAAACAAACCGACTTACAGACTGGAAACTAAATCTGGATAAGATTATAAAAAATAACATTTTAGATTTCATCACTGAGTTGATTCTCCCTTTGCAGCAATAACCAATTCATTACACAGATGAAAAAGTAAAGGACTTTAATTGATTCATCAAACAACCCATTTGATTATTTTTTATTTTAGCATATCAAATGGATTTTACTTTTTTGTGACGTCATAACTCGTGTTGTAAATATTATTAATTATCTGTAGCACAATCCAGACATTTTAGTTTGGAAATGAACTTGCTTTGAAGGAGATTAGCTAAAAAAAAAAATTAAGAAAATAAAACCGGAAGCCGCGGACGTTTTGACATGTAAGCAAACGACATCGCTTATTTTCTAAATAAAACTTAAAAACCTGAAAAATAATCCCAAATTCCTGAATAAAAGCAAAAAAACATAAATCACCAAACACGAGAACAACTGACCTTTCCACACAACCGATGCAGGAGTTGCCATTTTTGCCGCTGCTAGAGGTCCGTGTGGAAACAAAATTTCATTAATGGTTCCGCCAATTGAGAGTGGCAAATCTTCATTTAAGAAACAGTCAATTCAGATTTGTTTGACCAAAGGTTAATCGTAAATTATTTTTTATAAACATAAATTGTAATTTTTAGAAATTAGAGACTCTAAATC